TCCTGCTATTCAATGAAATACAAAGTATTTCAATTGAAAAGTCTCAGTTGGTAAAATAATAATGTAGAAAAACAATGAACCAGAACCAAAATAATATTTGTCATTAATAAAACATCAGCTAGAGAGATTGAATCCTATTAAAAAAATTTGGGATGTTTTTTGGGGGGGTTGGGGCAAATTTTTTGAAATTAAGAAAGTACAATTTTTTTGGTATGAAATTGAGGGAAATTAAAAACAACTCAATGTGGGCCAATTGTGGTACTCAAGAGATGTATGTAGAAGAATGGGGAAAAAAGTTTTTGGAGAGGGGCATTGCACCATTTGAGTGAATTTCAAGAAACTTAGTACCAAAAAGTTGTGAATGCTAAAATACTTTGAATATACAAATATGAAGAAAGATGATAAGATGTTCATTTCTTAAATTAATGTTAATCAATCTTACCCCCCTACCTACCCCCACCACATCAATCTTACCCCGTCCATACCCCACCACATCAATCTTACCTCCTCCATACCCCCACCACATCAATCATACCCCCCTCCATACCCCCACCACCCTTAAGGATAGTCCCCTTAAAGGTTACCAACCTTGACTTTGCAGACAAAGTTGCTATTCTGAGTTTCTGAAAACTCTAGTGGTGGCTCAAGGCTAGATGGGAAGCTCCTGGGTCTGCAGGTCCCCTGGACCCAGATTAAGATCCAGAATTTTGAGTGTCTGTGCAAAAGGATTCTAAGAAATATTTCCCCCATACAGTTTTCACTAGATCACTATGCTTGAGCAAGTATATATTTGTACTGGAAATCTACACAAGTAGTATAGGATAAGAGTGCATAAGCTTTGATATCAAAATACTTTCATATCAACAGGGACTTGACCTAGAAAAGCAAGCTTAGGTTTATCTTTTGTGTGCCTGCACCTGTAATTAACAAATGTCATGCAACAGAATGTGCTGGCAATAATGATCTTTTTTTTTATTCTTTCTTCCTTTATTTTTTATTATTATTTTATTTTTTTATTCATTATTATTATTATTATTTTTTACTCTTTATCTTTGGGCTCAAGCATTTCATGATGAATGAGGTACGGAGAAAGAATATTGCAATACTTCTTGTTAAGTTCTACATAATCATTCTATGTACTATATATTTACAGTTTAATAAGGTGTAGAATACCTTAAATTGTAATTAGTATCAATTAATAAAAAGTTGCATTTTCAAATCATTTAAAGAAGCATAAAGTTTAAAGCCAGTGTTGATATGCAAAGGAAAAATATGATGGGAGGTGAGTAGGACCCACCCATTTTCAGCTGATTTTGATAGTTATCCATTGGTTGATTTGTAATTTTAAGATTTAATAATTAACAGCTTGTACTTATTGATATCCCTATCATCATCATCATCTCATCATCTGGGGGTTAACGCCAATGGGGGCGCATAGCCGCATCCACCCTTTGCTTCCACCTTTTGGGGTCCCTCATGGCAATGTGCCAGGCAGGGACTCGGTCCATCTTGAGCTCCTCACGACAGGTTTGATCGATCTGCCCAAGCCACGACCTCCTAGGTCATCCCACAGGCCTCCTCCACCCAGGGCTGTCTTGTACAGAGACAACCTGGTGGGCAGGGTCATCCTGGGGAAAGCTAGTCAGGTGGCCGTATAGCCTGAGTTGGCGATCCCAGATAGTGCAGGTAACAGGTCCTGTGCTAGTCTCATGGTGCAACTGTTGGTTGGACACATGGTCTTGCCAACTGTACCCCATGATCCGGTGCAAGGACCTATTACAGAAGGCATCAAGACGGGACTCCAAGGCACAGGATAATGTTCAGGTTTCACTACTGTATAGCAAAACTGGCATTATCAGGGCCTTGAAGACATGTAGCTTGGTCCTTCTGCACAGGTACTGGCATCTCCAAATACTCTTGTCAAGAGAGTTCATGACCCCTGCTGCCAGGTCAATCCGTCTGCTGACTTCCTGGTCTGACAGCCCAGAGTTATGAACTACACTACCAAGGTATGTAAAGCTCTCTGTGACTTCAATGTCCTCGCCGCAAGCACGTACTGACTGAACAGGTTCTCCTAGCAAGTCCCCAAAGTCCTGGATCTTTGTCTTGGTCCAGGAGACCTCTAGACCCAAGGGCTTCGCTTCATTACTAAATGCATCGAAAGCCACCACTAGGGTTTCCAAAGACTCAGATAGAATAGCAATATCATTGGCAAAGTCAAGGTTGGTAACCTTGATATTGCCCAGAGTTGTACCACAATGACTTTGAACAGTAGCTCTGCCTAGTATCCAGTCCATGAAAGTGTTGAAAAGTGTTAGTGCAAGAACACAGTCTTGCCTCACATCTGAACTAACAGGAAAGAAGCTTGACAGGCCCCCACCACACTTTACAGCACTTTCAGTACCAATATACAGACTTGCTATCAGTCCAATAATCCTTGTTGGAATTCCTCCCAGTCTCAGGATCTTCCAGAGTGATTCCCGATGCACCGTATCGAACG